ACTGTTTTACAAATTTCACTCTTGAAAACGTGATAGATAGGTTCGCCTCTATTCTTATACTGAAAAGTATCCAAATGACGGCATATTCTTTTAATTGGTTCGAAGTATTACTGGTAATATAGTTATTGTTAATTGTGTGCGTTATAATGACCTGACCTGACAAACAATGATTTATTTATAGAGGCACCAGCCGTCCATGTCCAGGTGCTGTTTTAGCCTCTTTTTCCTGTATGCGGATTAATAATATTTTTTTGCCAATTTATTAGTTCCGCTTCTATGTACCCCATATCTATTGTTCTCAACCTCGAAATCGCTTATAATTCACTGTAATTCCCCCCCTCCGCTCCCCTTACCATTTCTCATCACCCCCGCCCCACCCCTTATAGTGTCATCATTTATGTTACCGTCTATTCTTATCGAGAACACGATTATGGATTAAGGGCAGTAATGATGATAATTAAGGACAGAAACAAATAGAGGGAAGGTAAAGAAGTAGGACCTACCAGCGGCACCCTCCAACCACCCACAATGTCATTATGCATGGGGTTAAAATTTATACAAAGAAAATATGCGGGATACAATTTGGGATCTGAAAATCTGTCCGTATGTGCGTGCTAGACTGTATTACAATAATAATAATAAATTTTGAATTTGCAGCCACTCGGTGACAGATCAAAAGCACAAGATTCACACGTGGTGGCAAAAAACACAGTGGATGAGAGAGTGAGATGAAGACAGCGTGCAGGGAAAGAACATTTGAACGAAATTAATGAATCGATCCTTCAACTTTGATCAGTACTTGGAGCCATTATTATCATTAGTATCTCATTTAAAGAGACTACAGCTCCTTTGTTTTGTTTGTTTGTTTAATGGTTTGTTTGGTTTGTTTGAGTAATAATGAGTTCTTTAAAATATTTTTAAAGACATAAAAAGATCAACAAATAATTTTGTTAATAAATTACAAAACAAAAAATATATTTAATTAATGTTTTTAAAGAAGTAAACAAAATTGATGAAATAGTCAATAAAATGAGAAAGAAAAAGAAAAATACTGGATATTTCAATGAACAAATTATGAAGGAATGAAAAATAAAGTAAACAAATAGATAGCCAGATAAGCAGACAAAATAAATAAATAGACTTATTTTCCCAGTCAGAAAGAAGGAAAAGTGTTGTTTTCAGTGACGATAGATGGGGGAAAAACACTGGTGATGATGATGGTGATGATGATGATGATGACGATGATGGTGATGATGATGATGGTGATGATGATGATGATGGTGATGGTGATGATGGTGATGGTGATGGTGATGGTGATGATGGTGATGATGATGATGATGATGATGATTGTTAGAAAAATCTAGCCAGGACGGCATCATGACAGTTGCTGCTGCTACCACTGCTGCTGCTACTGCTGCAGCAGCAGCAACATCAGTATCAGTGAGAGTAGCATTGCTGCCGATTTCTGCCACCCTGGCATACACAGTTACAACACAGAATATAATAATGCAATGGAGACGTGAATGGCCATAGCGTTTTGCCAGCAACAATTCCACAAAGCTTGAACGCTACCAAGGACGATTTCCTATTATTAGTAATATTAGCTAGATTTGTACCCCTGGATTACGCTCTGTTGCGGCCGCCGCTCTTCACCTTGACTTTGACCATCAATGATTTATTTTTATAGAGACATGGATGGACGCCGCTCATCACTAAATTATTATATTACGCTAAAAAAAAAAAGTTTGCTGCGAAAGTGCGAATCATTAGCAGCGTAATTCCGCCAAAATAAAGACCAAAACACCCTTGTATCGCTAAATTCGAGTATGCTCGCGACATGTCCTTTCCCCGCCAGCCCTTCATTTTGCTCTTTGGGAGAAAAAGGCCTTGATTTTTGTTGTAGAGATAGAATAGTCTTCCCTTCATAGACCTATCTATAAACCGCATAAATTGGGATCGTTGTTGAGATGTTGAGACTTGAGTCAGGCCTGTGCTGGGATGAGATGAGGAATGACACCAAACAAAACAAAAAAAGCACGAAGTGATACGGTTCGAATCCACTAGCCTCAGTCTGGGGAGGGAAAAAGTCACGTTAAGAAAATGGGATACCGTACGTTTAGGGTCACATGACAAATGTAACACCTTCCTCGTTACATTGGACAAATGTAACACCTTCTTGGTTACATTGTCAAATGTACCGGTAATACCTTTTCGATTACTTATGACAAATGTAATACCTTCCTGGTTACATTGTCAAATGTACCGGTAATACTTTTTCGATTACTTATGACAAATGTAATACCTTCCTCGTTACATTGTCAAATGTACCGGTAATACCTTTTCGGTTACTTATGACAAATGTAATACCTTCCTGGTTACACATTGGACAAATGTAATAACTCTTCAGTTACATTAGATAAATGTAATACCTTCCCAGTATTACTTGGAAAAATGTAATAACTTCCCAGTTACATTGGACAAATCTTCCAGGTTATGTAAGACAAATGTAATAACTTTTCGATTACATTTGACAAATGTAATACCTTCCCGGTTACTTAGACAAATGTAATAAGGCCAGCCTTCCCAGTTACGTAAGACAAATGTAATAGATTTTCGGTTACGTATGACAAAAGTAAAACCTTCCCGGTTAAGTTAAAGTAAGACAAATGTAATATCTCCATGGTTACATAAGACAGATGGAACAACTTCCTGGTGACATATATTATATGGCAAATGTAATACCCTCCCAGTTATATGACAAATGTAGTACCTTCCCAATATGACAAATGTAATAGCCTACTTTTTTGATTATATGACAAATGTAGTACCTTCCCAATATGACAAATGTAATACTTTCCCGATATGACAAATGTAACACTTTCCCGATTATATGACAAGTGTAATACCTTCCCAGGTACATGACAAATGTAACACTTTCCCGATAATATGGCAAATGTAACACCGTAAGTCCCGGTTACAATGGACAAATTAACGTAGTAACTTCTCGGTTACGTGTTATGACAAGTACTCTTCCAATATGTGCACTAAGTCTTTAAGAATATTGTATTTAACACACACATACTTCCACATATTCTGGCGTGTCATTGGCTGCCGGCCTCCTACTTCGCCTGACACATATTGCATGAGTGGGTGGTACGTGGGTGCTCTGGTATGGTTTGCTTCTTCTTTCCTATCAAACATCTATCGTCCTTATCTCTCCTCCCTCTTTTTTGTGTTTGTTACTCTCTTGTAAACACCTATTATAATCTTCGGCACTTATATATTACCTTATTGTGTTGCAAGTGCCGTAAAATTCTTACTAAAAAAAATAAAAAGCCTCCTATTCCTACTCCTATTCCTACACCCCCTAATGGAACAGCCGGCCTCCTATTCACCTTTTTCTGTGCCTGTTTGATCTGTTTCAGCGAGAGCTCGCCGTCCAGCACTCGCTGTTTGGAGGAATCGAACACACGTCGCTTGCTGGACGTGGTGGTCGACTTCTTGCAGATGTTCTGGTGCCGCGGCTGGGGACCACAAAAAAAAAAGAACCTGTCTAAAAGTAGGTCGTCGTGTTTTTACGGTCTCCTCGACACAATTTAGATCATCCAGGAGGTAGTGGATGCACGCACAAAGAAATTTTAAAAAAAAATTACTTG